CCCCACACATAACGCCACAGTGAGCAGCGTTAGACCGCCCACTAGCGCCTGTTCACTACATATATCTCATCCTACCGTACCCACAGAATACCGCTTTGAATTATGCTGTGTAATGTAGCACAATATCATCGCTTCGAGAAGACCGGTGTCCAGCACGGGGGATGGGGAAGGGCGAAAACATTGAGTGGAAGGGTGGGGCAAGGGCAGGGAAATATGATGGAGTACTTCAAAGTTTGATGCAAAAACGCATGATCGCACCGGCCCGCCTGGTGTGTTCCAGCCTGGGTAGTGAACCGGAAGTTTGCATTTTCATTTCTTCATTTACTGAAAAAACGACCAAGCTTCATGCAAACCCAGGCTGGAGTGCACCAAGCTTGCCGGTGCAATCATGCGTTTTTGCACTAGACTCGCGGTTCGTTAATAACTCGTGGGTCGCTAATCAGGAATAATCCCTGCGCTACAACCAAACATTTCGGCTCATATTGGCCATGCTTTGGTTTCTTCCGGCATACAGCAGAATGGGCATCGGTTGGGAGAAGGGTGTTGCGTTATAGAGTCATTTTAGGTATACTATTTTCTATGTGGGAGGCAAACATCCTGACAAAATTTCAGTCAATGTTTTTCGGCAACTTTTCGAGCTAGCATAGTACCAAGTCGGTAAATTTCACGTAGTCGTACGCGCTGCACACGCGTGCACGATAGCTTAGTTTAAAATCTTTAGCTCGCACGTGCATAAAGAATATCCTTGTAAAGTTTCAGCTTTGTATCTTGCCTGATTCGCGAAATCGATAACCAAATCTTTTCCCGCTAACGAAATTTGCATGTTTTTTGGGGCGCCGTACGCAGGATCTAGACGCGTGTTGGGGAAGTTCTTGAAATGGGAGGATGACACGTGGGACAAGAACATATACCAAAGTTTCAGCCTCCAAGCTTTCCTGGTTGCTGAGATGAAAGTGGGTGACAAAATGCACTCATTTCCGAACACGCACACAGAAAGCCTCTCGACAATATACATTTTTGCTAGCTGTAACAGCGCTATAGCGTTTTTGCTATAGTGTTGCTATAGTGCTGCACAGCAAAAACGCATAAAAATTGGTAATCATATACCAGCAGGTCCATGCGGCTCTGTAGCGCAACATCCTCATTCCAACTGATGCCCATTATGCTGGAAGAAACCAAAGCATGGCCAATATGAGCCCAAATGTTTGGCTGCAACGCAGAGATTATTCCTGCTATTTACGACCCGCTAGTTAAATGCAAAAACGCATGATCGCACCGGCAAGTCTTGTGCGTCCCAGTCTGGGTTAGTACTTAGCGGTATTACTACGATTGGGACAGAATTTGCAGTTCTTGCGTGTTTTTGCGAATATACGCGACATCGCAGACCGTTTGGCATCATCTCCGTTGGTTCCTCTCCTTTCTTCTGGTATGCAGCAGTACTGCTTTTAGATGTTTTAATAACTGTGACGACCTTCACTCTCAAAGCCAAAGTTCGCATCACTTCTCTATGGTTACAGGATGCGCAGTTGTCTGGAAGTCGCTTGCCGGTTCTGCCGGATGAGATGATGAAAATCGAAGGTGGCCAGCCAATCGTTGTTTGTTTCAAGGAAAGAAAACCGGAATCAGTTGTCCTGCCGGTATATGTCATGACGGATCGCACAATGCACCGGAAGCCGCGGCCGTTCGACCTTAGTGGATCGGCACAAATGACGCCGCCCTCCACTACTCCTGATATTCCTGTGTCATCTCCGTCCGCACGTGGAGTTAGCAGCAAGAAGTCAGTCACCGTACCAACCTCCCAAGAAGCGGTCGCAGAGGGCAGCAGCAGGAAGCAGCAGGATACGGCCAAAGAGAAGCGTGCAAGTCCCAAAGAAGATGAAGAAGGTAAGTGTATGGTTAAACGGGAAGCGAAACGTGGCCTGTGACTACCTATTGCGGAAAATCCCAGAATACTGCAAGCAAGTCTTTTCAAGTAGCGATCTTTCAGTCTGCCTTATTTTCGGAGTGGTAATGAAAATCGTGAGCGTAAGTAACGCAACAGGCTAGGTTAAGCTTGAA